TAAAAGTTTCACACATCTGTCCAAGGGTTCCTGAGTTATGATCGGACAAACAAACAGACAAACAAAGATTACAACTTAATATATAAATATACAAAAGAGTAGATCTATATTGCAGAATATACTACAAATTGTACGTATTGTATATATAAAGAGAATGAATAAAACACTTGAAGGTCATAACTAGCTCAACCTAGGTCAGAAATTAAAATGTTTTGTTTTTATTCAGATTGAAAATAGAAATGAAAACTTTGATATATAGAGTGATAGAAAGATGGATTACTAAGAGATGGATATAGATAGAAAGATAGATGGATAGATATATAGATAGAAGTTCTAAGTTCTAAGATACAGGGTGTCCTTTATATCTTCCCAATTTTCCAATCAAAATATGAATGTTTTGTTGTAAACAATGAAAATTCACAATTCTATTACCAAAAAATGCGCAAATTTAGTTATCTTGGCTTCTTTAGAAAACACCATATTGGAATATGGCTCCCTGTAGATACAAAGATAGATAGATAGAATTCTAAGTTGTAAAGATAGATAGATACTATTGGTCCAGTGCCCGGGGCGGCTACAGTGTTGTTGGCGTCTAAACACCGCGCCGGGACGCAACAGGCGCCCCGGCGCTTAGGAAATGTATTAAATAGGCGACATCTAACTGTTGTAAAGGTAGTTGTAACTAAGATGTGGAGGAGGGATAATATGCTGGCCAAACTACTGGTAGACTCATTAATTTAATAATTATACTAATTAAATGTTAATGATAGGATAGCTAACGCGCTAACGAGGTGTTAATGATCGCAGTTAATTATATTGATATTATGTAATTGACACAGGTTAAAGAGACTGTAAGCGTAATTTCAAGTGACCCTCCATGCAAAGATGGCCGATTTTCAACAGTTCCCTTGAGAGCTTTGTCTGATCAAGTATGAATCAAATATCCATGTTTTTGTTTCTTTAAACGGTTTATATTTTCATAAAAGTGACTTGCGCATTTCTTGCTCTTAAGGAGCAATGTAGAAATGATTAGAATTAAACAATTTTAGAGGTAGAAAAACATGTTGTCATCCACATATTTCATCAGATTAAGTTTTCAAGGGTACCGTTGTAAATCGGCCATGAGAGCCACTTGAAATTACGCTTACAGTCCCTTTAAAATGATTATTTTATAAATATTATTATTTTATTTATTCCATTTCTTATCAATATTTATTTCATTTCTATATTTATTCCATGAATTTTACTCCTTCCATTTAGTCTGTTTGCATAAAATCTATTCATTTCCATTATACCATTATTTTTTTCATTTTTTGCATTTCTTCAAAACATTTTTCCATTTAGTAATTTCTTTGTCTCCATTATATTAAATGTTTGACTAATCAATTAATTCCCACAGTGAGATACATTTATTCCCATTTTTCAATTCCATCTATTCCCATTTCTGCATTACATTTATTTTTTTGATTAATGAATTAAGTATTGAGATACATTTATTCCCATTTTTAAAATTCCATCTATTCCCATTTCTGCATTAATTCCCAATATGAGATTAATTTATTTCCATTTTGAATTCCTTTTATTAATCAATTATATTTGTAAACTTTTGTAGTATTTTAGTTTCGTTTTCATTACATTTTTCCATTATTATTTCATTAAATTTTCTTTCTGTTTTATAAACATTTTCTTGTTTGTTTTTGCCGTAAAAATCCACCATTTGAATTCTAGAAAAGGGACTTGTTTTAGTTTAAAAATAAGGATTCTTTACGCAAATTTAACTTTCTAAGTGAACGGTAATAAAATGTTTACAATCCTCATAAAAGATTGTTGTGATTAAAGTATTATTATTACAAAAACCCTTTATTAAAACTAACACGTATAATACTGGAATGCAGTCTGCTGTTCGTAATCTGTCAAGCTGTTCGTAATCTGTCAAGCTGTTCGTAATCTGTCAAGCTGTTTTAATGTCACGACGTAATTCCGTTAATACTTATTGTGTTAAATAATCAACTGTAATAGATATATAGATTTTAAACCGTGAGAATTTGTCACAAAGATAGTTGGACATTGATATTTACAAGAGGATCTATATAAAGTAACATTGAGCGTTAAAATTAACGGAATCATTAAACATTACTTTTCAAATTATTATTATTATTATTATCATTATAATTTAATCGATTAGAATAAACCAAACAACCATTATTATACTACATTATATCTACGTTTAAAACTAAACTATTTATTTCTGACAGCTGTAAATTAAACTTAATGTGATCAAAAATAAAACATTAGAAAAATATTAACGGTGTCCACAAAATAATGTTAAATACTGGGTATTTCAATATCAAATAACACAAGCTAAATGATTGAAAAAAAGTTTAGTAACAAAGTAAGTTTACACAAAAAGTATTTAAAAAACAGTTAAACATGACTAAATGTTGAAATTTAAAAGTTTCACACATCTATAAAATCTGAAAACCCTTAAGATTCAATTGATGTTGGAAATAAAATTTACTTTGTTAAAAATACATTATTTTTTACGATCTGTTTACTGTGTACTGCTCGTACAGTGTACTGTGTACTGTGTACTGCTCGTACAGTGTACTGTGTACTTTGTACTGCAAATCAGACAAAAAACTAAGTTTTGGATATTTTCTTAAAAACTCGCAATTTATTTGTTTAAATAACAAATTCAATTGTTCAGGCGACAGCTGTACTGCTGCAGTTGGTCTACTGCCAAGAAGAAGAGGAATCAGGGGACCAGGTACATTTTACAGTACAGTGGGTACAGCACATAATATTGTACAGTGTGTACAGTGCATTTAAAGTTCATTGGGTATTGTAAATTATACATAACAGTTGGTACAGTGCAATTTAGAGTACAGGCTGTACGGCATATTTTTTCAGTACAGTGAGTACAGCAGATTTTACAGTACAGTGGGTATAGTTCAATTTACAGTACAGTGGGTAGAGCGCATTTTACAGTTACAGTGGGTAGAGTACAATTTACAGTACAGTGGGTAGAGTACAATTTACAGTACAGTGGGTAGAGTAAACTTTTCAGTACAGTGGGTAGAGTACAATTTACAGTACAGTTGATAGAGTACAATTTACAGTACAGTGGGTAGAGCGCATTTTACAGCACAGGAAGTTGAGGAATGTTGGGACAGTACATAGATATAGTTGGTTTACACACCATTGTTTCAAGTTTTGTTTAGTTTAGCTACATATAAATCTACATTATAGTTTTGTTTAGTTTAGCTACATATAAATCTACATTATAGTTTTGTTTAGTTTAGCTACATATAAATCTACATTATAGTTTTGTTTAGTTTAGCTACATATAAATCTACATTATAGTTTTGTTTAGTTTAGCTACATATAAATCTACATTATAGTTTTGTTTAGTTTAGCTACATATAAATCTACATTATAGTTTTGTTTAGTTTAGCTACATATAAATCTACATTATAGTTTTGTTTAGTTTAGCTACATATAAATCTACATTATAGTTTTGTTTAGTTTAGCTACATATAAATCTACATTATAGTTTAAGGTCTGCACTTGGCATATTCTATATTAATATAGTGAACCAAAAAAGTCTTTTGAACTCCAAATTTATGAACTAATTGACTGGTGATTTTATAAACAGAGATGAATACTCAAGATCTTTTTTCTAGGTTCGACGATTAAGATTTCGGCGGCCAAGGCCAAAACTTCTTGATATTGAAAACCCCGAAGGAGAACTAGTTGGAAGTCCTATCCAGCTCAGCGCCATTGGTAATATTTTTAATCTGAATACTTTATTATTATTTTTTTAAGATCCGAAGACCAAATCATTTTAGTTTTGAACTTTTTTGTATTGCCCCCCCCCCCCCCGTAGGCAATACTTCCTCTTTTTCCTCAATAATCCTCCTCTCTCACAGTGTGACTGAATAGTGAATTCATATTTACAAAGTTTTGTGTTACTTTTGTAAATTCCCATGCCGTTCACTTTTCATAAATGGATCCGTCAAATTTAATTATCATTATCTTAAATATTCACATCAAATAGGTAACCAGAGAGATTCATCAAAATATTCTTTTAGATCAAATTATTTGCTTGAATACCGATTATATTATAGTGCTACATTGTATAATTTTATGCTATTTTACATTTCTTGGACCGTTCTGGAGAACAAACAAATTATATTATTGTAACTCTCATATTATGATCTCATTTATGTTAACTATTAGGAAACAAATTTTAAAACATTATTTAATTCTAAAAACGAAACAAATTTAAAGGTTACTTCCTATGCCCCCCCCCTCTCCACTTCCATTTAAAGTAAACCACTTAGCCAGCAGTCTTGACCTTTTTTATATGCGCAAATTTAGGTTTATTATTCAGAAGCAGGCAGGGGGGATTACGTGTAGTTGAGAGGGGGGGGGAATCTCATCATGGGGTAATCAACCAGGATGTATTGCATATTGCATAAAAGCTGAAGGAGGTATGATAAGTTGAGGGGGGGGGGGGTTAGCTTTCAGCAGATTGATAAAGAATGAATATAATCAAGAATCCTTTACATATGATCAGAATAAAACACAGAGTACAAGTACATCAACAAGAGCAAAGCTGCAAATATTTCTGAAAAGGTGCAAAAGGTGTAGTGAAAAGTTTATCAGAAACAGGGTTGCAAGTTTTTATTTCTCAAATCATCATCAGGCCATTAACTGCATTTTAAAAGAAAACACTGCATAAAAGGACAACAAAAATTTGTAATCTGATATCAGAACTGGCACACCTTGCTTCTAGTATCTCATTACTTTGCATTTTATGCCCTCAACAATCCTTCTACACAACCTTCAATAATGCAGGATTTTCCTACAAGGATCTGGAATGGTTTGGCGTAGGTTTAACTTGACAATGGATCTATCGGGATAGGCCCATATATAGAAACAGTACAATGTTTCCATTGTTATTCAAAAAGTAAAGCGTAATTTACAAATATGTATATGAGGGCGTTGATATCAACTTTGTAAAATGGTATTCTGGTATATGCTAGTAAAAATATTTATATTTTTAGATTCTGAGAACTCTGCTAGGACCAGTGGAAGTCAGGCTCTTGATGCTCTTATCAAGTTCTCCAAAGATGAAGTTGAACCTCTGCAACTAGAAATTGAGGAGGTCCCAACCCAAGCACCTCTTCAACTTAATGAAGCTGAACCTAAGCCTGTCAGACTCGCTGCTGGCCGTAGACGCATTGCCGGTGATCCTCGTAGAGGACAGGGTAGGCCTAGACCTCAGCAAGGTGAGAGAGTAGAAACAGTGCGTGGAGATGATGATACCCCAAGAGGTAGACCCAGAGAAGGAGTAAAGCAAGAACCTATTGGGACCCTGGAAAAATATTCTCATAACAATGCTGATGGAAGCTTCACTTTTGGATATGTTGGTGCTGATGGTTCCTTCAGAGAGGAAACTAGAGGAGTTGACTGTATCACTCGAGGAAAATATGGATACATTGATCCTGATGGTGTGAAAAGAGAGTACTCATACACATCTGGACTTCCTTGCAGTGTTGGTGAGAATGGTGACTTAGAGCAAAATCTTGATATTGATGGCAATGCAGTTGTTGAAGATCCAGTTGATCCCAGAGAAAGATTTCGTCAAACCTCAAGTGTCCAACTTGATGAAGTAGACATTCCAGAAGAAGCCAAAAGACAGAGAGTACGCCCTGAAGACAGACCACAGGAAGATCCTAACCTAGGACAAACTGTTTTCACAAACTTTGGAGCTCAACCAGCACAGAGGAGACCTGCACAACCATCCAGAAATTCAGGATCAGCTCTGGATAACCTTCTTAACTTTGCTGATGACAGGCCTACTGCCCCTGCTGCAGCTCCTGTTACTCCCAGACCTTTTCCTCAGAGAACTGTTATCAACCAGGGACCAACTGCAAGACCTGCTGGACCTGCCAATCCTGGATCATTTGATTTTGATTCAGAGCTTGAAGGATTCACATTAAACCGTCCATCTCTCACTTTTGAACAGAACAGAGCACAGGAGGCTCCATCTTCTCAGTTCCAGAGTCAGCTTGTGTTTGATCAAAATACTGGAACATTTCAAACTGAGCTTCGTCAAAACATTGTTGGTGGTGGTCAAGTTAATCTACAGAACAATGCTGCACCATTTTCTGCAACCACTCCTAGCTCAACTACCTTGGAGGATGATGATCTTGTTCTTACCACACTTGCTGGCTCAAGTCCTTCCCCCAGACCAACCACATTCTTCTCTACCCAACAAACCAGTCTTGCACCATCTCCAACTCCTGCTTCAACCAGAGGACCAGTCCTTCCTGCTGGAACCTTCCAACTGGATTTTGCTCCTCTTAATATTCCCCAAACATCTTTAGCTCCTGCATCTCCTACACCAGCTGTTTCAAGATTACCATCTCCAACCCCTGCTGCTCCTGGAGCATCCCCACCAAGCCCCTCAGGAGCACCTCCTGCAAACACATTTTTTGTATTCTCACCCTTTAACCAACAAGGAGCAGCAGCCCCCAGTCCTAGACCAGTTTCTCAGCCATTCCCTGCTCCATTAAACCCTAATGCATTCCAAATCCAACCAGTTCAGAATTCTGCACCTAATGCTGCTCCTGCCCAGCTTTCCCCCCAGAGAGTACAGGGAAGTTCTGCCCCAGCTCCTACACTTTCTTCAGCTCCTGCTCCTCAAGCATTCTTCCAAGGATTCCCTGGCAGTCCTCCACCCCTTCAGAGCTCCAGGCCCCTTGCACCTGGTCAGTCTAATCAGCCTTTCTTCATAGGTTCTCAGCCACAACCTGCACCTCAAGCATCTTCTGCTCCTCAAGCAGTCCCTTCACGTCCCCAGTCTGCCCCATCAACTCCTCAGATTCAGTTTGGATTCCAACCTGTCCAGCAACAGCAGCCCCAGAATGCTCCCTTCACTGCATTTAGAAGTGGAACACCTCCCCAGATTCAAGCTGCCTTCCAGAGTGCCCAATCTCAACCTCGACCTCAGCAGCTTGGGGCTAACCCTCCCTTTCAGGGAGCTCCACAGCTGGGAGTCCCCCCACAGTTTCAGGGTGCTCCACAGCCCAACAGATTTGCTCCTCAGAACTCTTTCTTCCCTGGACAGAGTCAGTTAAGACCAGCCGCCTTCAATCCTGGCGCACTTGGTCCTCAGCAAGGGTTCTCCGCATTTAATGGAGGTCAGCAGCTTCGAGGAGCTTAGACTGTCTAGTCAGGACTTTTGAAAATATCTTTAGAAAATCAAATTTTAGAAAATATCAAAAACATGTGATGCCATGTGGCTCATGTGTGATTCATAATTCAATCCTTGTTTACCAATCTTTTTTTGTTGCACATTTTCAAGGTTTTAGAAACATTTTCATCATGATTACAGCAGTACGATGTTGAAATCCTGATGCAAATTGTTTCAACCCTCCTCGTCCTACCTTTATCTTGAACTTAACCCCGACAGATGAATGTAATGGCTAATTCTTGCTAAACCCTGTGAGATCATTCCGGAACTAAAGAACCTAATTTTCCATGTCATTCTTTAGTTACGATCTAATTAGATTAGTTCCTCTGGTCACTGCACCGGTAGATACTATACACAAGGGTGTCAAGGACACTGCAGGCTTACACAAACTAATAATTTTTTTGAATGTTGGCTGATCTTTGTTTGGGACATCTATGGCTGATAAATAGGGCAATAAGTGCTCTAAATCTCTAGGCATGATACCCACACTGGTCAGTAGTTTGTTATAACAAGAGTTCTGAGTCGGGGGTGAGTTCAAGGACTTTAATCTGTACCTGCTCAAAGCACAAGTATATAGGGCAGGTTGAAGGACACCAACACTACTAGCCCCAGGGTTCAGGATCTGGTTCAGCGGTCCAGGGCTCATCAACTAATTCCAGGAATTTTACATGTTCCAGGGCCCTTACAGTTTATCAAATATTAAATTTGGCCCAGTTTAAATGTCAAAAATTTAAGTTGTAATATCAACATTAAAGTTTCGCGGATTTAATGCAAATTAAAACTTTATTGCTGAGATACCTCGCCTTGGCATTATAAGATAGATAGATAGATGGATTTTTTGATTGATTGAAGATATCGAAACCGGAAATAGATTTAGCTGTACGGCATAGAGGCTCTAGGCATTTCCATTCCCCAACCTTCTCCTTTCCTTAAAGTACCTTCTTTTAAACTTTCCTCATCTATTTCCTCGATATAGTTAATTTCAGTATTTAGTGCACTTTTCCACTTTATTCCATTCTTACTTATCCACTTACGTATCCTGTCCACACCTGTCCTATTCCAGCCTATCCTGTTCCATCCAATCCTACCTTATCCTTTCCTACTTTCCTACTTTCCTACTTTCCTTTCCTGTCCTGTACTATTCCAACCTATCTTTTCCCATCCAGTCCTGCCAAATCCTTTCCTATTTTTCTATCCTGTACTGTCCTGTTCTATCCTTTAAGATCCTTTCCTATCCTGTCCTATTCTGTCCAATCCTATTCTGTCTTATCTTATTATATCCTTTCCTGATCTTCCCTAATCTAACATATCCTAGCCAACTATTTCCTATCATGTACTTCCGTAAAGTTTCCTATTTCCTTTCCCATCCTTTCTTACATAATTCCTATATTTTTAGTTCCTTTCTACCCTGCACTTTATAATGTCACATCTTTCTATCAAGAAATACGTTGCTGTCCCTAAAACCTGTCCTAATTACATTCTGCATTGTACTCCTGCTCTTTTTCTCCTGTTCAAGCTTGAGGTCAAACCTCTTTTTAGAACAGGAGAAATAGACCAGCTCCTAGTCCTGTTCAAAGTATGGAAACAGGAGCCCTGTATCCATACTGTTATCTTACACTGTATCCTATTATGCCCCAGTTAAAAACCTTTATTAATATGTTTAATATATTCATTTGTTAAATATATATTAAAATATATTGTTAATTATACAAAAAAAGTTTATTTTTTCACTAAAAATTTATTTTCTGATAATTCTATAAAATAGTCTAATACATATTTCTTGGTCTCCAATAAAAGAAAATTAGTAGACAAGATGTTTCTGATTCTTAATTTCTAAATTTGTTTGCAATCTTTTAATAAAAATGTGAGTTCGCTTTAAAAGTAGTATCAAAATTAACTCACTTACAGGGTGCTTTGAGCCTCTTATTTAGTGACGATTTGAACTGTTTACCGTTGGTCTTTAAACCGTATTTTTTCTTCAAAAATCGTATTTCGTGGAATTTTCTGTTTAAAGGAATTGAGTCTTTGCCACAAACTCTGATTTTTTAATCCTTATATCCGTCGTAGACATTAGATATTTCAAACTATGGTTTCGGTAAAATCAGATAATCTAAATTTAAATATCAAATGTTTTTGCAATCAGGTTGCAAAGACCTATATAGGGATTCGAAAATTTGAGTTTGTGGCAAAAACTAAATTCTGAAATTTCGAAAAAAATAAATAATATACAGACAAACAAAGTATATATATTTAAGAAATTTTAATATTTGTGTCTAAGTTAGTTATTTAGTTAGTTAGTTAGTTAGTTAGTTAGTTAGTTAGTTAGTTAGTTAGTTAGTTAGTTAGTTAGTTGGTTAGTTAGTAATGGGATTTTTAAAGCAAATCGAGTGGTCACGCGAAAATAAAAATGCTTACAGTTTTGTCTTTGATATGTCCAGATAAAACAAAAATGTATTCTTTTTTCTTACAGTGAGAACCAGAAAACACTGTATTAGGAAGATGACCTTAAGAATCAAATTTTACCTTTAAAAAGTCCAATAAGCATGATACACAGCAACTGCGCAGTGTAAAAAGACCCATTTATTTAAATAAGTGTTCAGTAAAACTATTTGCTTTGTAACAACATCAAAAACGCTTACGTATTGCTATAATGTCGTCTACCTATTCCATTGTTTATTTCGTTATTCCTCTACTTCGCAAGACTTTCTTCTATTTGCGTATTAAATTGACAGAACATTATTTCCTCAATACGTATTACGTACATCATAAAGTATTTTTTCATGGCAAGTACGTAACCCTTAATTACACACCATTTCTAACAGTTTTATTACTTATTATCAAAGTTGTATCAAATTTTATCAAATTTCAAAAATTTCAAAAATCCGAAGCGAAAAGGGAAATAATTCAAGCTATGTGAAGAGACAATGTCCCGCAGATTTAACAGTTCGTACGATCACAATTTAACCGATTAAACATTTTTTGTACTTTTTTGGTCGGCATTTTGTACAATTGTAATGTGCCCAGTTATGTAAATACTTGATCTGACATTTCCTTAAGTTAAAGATTGCTGCAACAGCCACCTTCAAAACACGCTTAACCGTTTTCTTGAACAGATTATGTCGTATATCTAGACAGAAGTGGAAAGTGGATTTGATATTTATAGACATGTATCTGTTTGACGACATGACGACAATTTTTAATTAAAAATTTTAGTAATTCAGTAATGCAGTAATTCATTTTAAATTTCTAAAGATAAAAAAAACAAAAATAAATCTTCTGTAAACATTCAAGTAAAAATCCCTCCCCCCTTCCTCCTGATTAACCCCCCC